GAAGGATATTTAGTTTTGACACATGGATAAACTCTTTTGGGAGAGATATGAGCTTTTGCAGGGGATCCACGGTGTTGTGCTAAACCATCCAGGTTATTTTGACAAAAGCACTAAATGAATGCACATGTGCCAAGGCACTTGAGAAGGATCTGTGCTATTTTGACTGTACTGGCCTTTTATATGGGAAAGGAATCTGCTTTTGAAGCATGGACGAAGAGTTTGGGAAAAGATATTTGATTTTGCTAGTGAGCTATAATGTTGGGCAGAACTGTAAGACTGTTTGGCCAAATGACCTTATGGTTTTGAGAATGTCATCTCGGTTTCAAGAAATGAGCCAAACCAATCGAGAAAAACTGTAATTGTTCACTAATTTCTTGGAAGAGTCAATTTTAAAGGATGATTTGTTCCTCGGTGAACGGTCCCTTTAAGTGGCTTCACTAAAGACTCCAATCCCCACAATGCACCGGTCCGTTCTTCAACAAAAACGCGGAAACAATAGAGGCAATCAGTTTGTCAAAACAGATAACACCGAGTCGGCAGAAAGTGAGCGTAGTTGGTGCTGACAGCTGTCAAAGTTAATATCTATCGTCTGTCAAACGATCTAAAAGACTAGCCATGGCTCTGAAGAGAATACAGAAGGTAAAGAAAATAATCGTTTTTTTACATAATTTGTTTGATGTACGGTGTACAGGTCGGAGCGATGCGGAAACATAGCTTTAACGGTAGCGAGTCAGTTGTCTTACAGCTTATTTGCTAGCGTTATCAGTGTTTTATAATGTTTTTAAATTCGCAATGAACAATTGTCAGTATTTCTTTTTTTGCCGTCTGCAAGTCATTTGAGCCAATACAGGTACAGAAATGGAATAACAATCCTTCTGTTTTTTTCAGCCAGGCTTTTCTTTTGTGATATTTAAGTTATGCTATTGTTGGGTGTATGCCTGTCGCCGTGTTGAAGAGACTGATAAACCTCTTTAGGATCAAGTATTTGAGAAAGGGCCGGGGCTTTATCGTGTGACATGTTGTGCATTTTTGCAGGTTTATTAGCCTAAATCCAAACCCGCTGCCGGTTGTAGTCGTGGTTTTGTTAGATTTAGAGGGTAGTTTGCCCACATTAATATACAGTCTAACAAAATGTAACGCTTGTGTTGCTTCTTAATCAGTGCACAAGCTGACAAACTCTAAAACTGTTGATTTTTTTCAGGAGTTAAATGACCTACAGAGGGACCCTCCAGCTTCATGTTCTGCTGGACCTGTTGGGGAAGACAGTAAGTGTGACTTTTGGTTAATTTTGCTACTTTTTAGTCATGTCTCAAAGTTTAGTTGTCTTTTGGGACTGTGTTGTATGCTCACATGCTGTTTCTTTATCTTTGTTTTCATTAGTGTTTCACTGGCAAGCTACCATCACAGGACCGGTGAGCTTTTTCTGGATATGATTCCTGGACATTTTCTTTTTAAACCAAGCTGCTTCTGGATCTCTAGACAATAGTGTTTTATGTGGAGTTTACAGCCCTTTCTGTTCTTTATGGCCAGCACAGACTGGCACACTCTATCCTGATGCTATTCACTGAAGGCCAGGTCATTATTGAGGCCATATATTGTATCTCTCATGCAACACATTATCGATACACTGATGGCAAGTGTCGATATTTTTTTGAAACATGTAGTCACTTTAAAGTGCATCCTCATGTGAGTTTGAGTCGATAGAGTCACTATTTCATAGTTGTTGTTTTTTTTTAAATGGAGAGACTTTTTTAAAATACCGAGGGTGAAGAAAGCAAAAGTTGAATAGCTTCTTGTGACAAAACTCTCTGGGGGCATAAATCAGTAAACGGGGATAGAAAATTGAAGGCTTTCCAGTTTTATCAATCCATTCTCTTCCAATTATCCTTATCAGGATCACATGGGAATGGAGCCTATCCCCGCTATCATAGGACGAGAGGCAGGGGAACCCCCTGACACTAGTCTGCTCCAACTAGTTTTGCCGATATATACACAATGCCTGCTTTTTGCTCTTATAATTGTTTGATCATCAAGGATCGTGACATTACTGTGATACTGTGGTAAGATATAGTGATAGTATCACCGGTGACTATATCCCTGTAATTAAGAAAGAAGTGTTGGGTATGACTTTAAACCAGTTTTCTACTTTATTTCAGAATGATAGCCCATATCATGGAGGAGTTTTCTTCCTTTCTGTGCATTTCCCCACTGACTATCCCTTTAAACCACCAAAGGTAAGTGTATTTGTTCTTGAGACTAATTGTCTCAGAAGTACTACACTATACTATACCAATAACACTATTTTTGTCACTGTATAGAGTAAATGATTAATGAATATTGTATATTGTTATTCGATCCAGTTGTATTCAGAAAATGAATGGTATCTTTTAAATAAAAATACTGTTATTACAGTATTTGTTTTTTAAATTATAGCTAATTTTGCACATTTGTGCTTTGCTTTTATTTACAGGTTGCCTTTACTACGAAAATCTATCACCCAAACATAAACAGCAATGGTAGCATTTGCCTTGACATCTTGAGGTCACAGTGGTCACCTGCACTTACAGTATCAAAAGGTAACCAAATCCATGTCCACATTCATTTTTGCTTTATGATTCGTTGTATTTGATACATTTACTTGTACTCTGGTTTTTAAGGACCCCTAAAACTGAGAGATTTGGATTAACTGTTCATCCTGTTTTGTGTTTTAGCATGGACAAGCAGTTTTAGTTTAGAAATTCATGTGCACTCAGGATATCTGCTCTTGCTCTTATAACTGGATTCCAGCATTATTATCTTGACTTGTGCTTATATTACACCCAGTAGCTGGAGTCTGCACGTTACTTAACAGCATCTCAGCGCATACATCGGATTCAGTGAAAAGGGGGTATACGCCTACCTTTACCATATGACTAATACAAATTCAGCAAGGCAATTCCTGATGCCAAGCAACAATGCCATGTTTAAATTATTTAAAGATGGTCTACCTGTTTGATACGAGCAATGACAGTATAAGTCTTAATCATTCTGACACTTACATGCTTTTTTAAGAGAGATGTCCTCCTGTATGCCAAGGTTTTCTTGGCCGTTTAAAACACATGCTCCTCCCGAGCCACTCATCACTACCTGTGACCTTGTGCTCCAGCTGAAGTAAGGACAGCAGCTACTTACTACCTGTCCTGCCCTAATTCGTCATCCTCCTTCGCATGAAAAAAAAATGGTGTAAAAGATGGCTGTAGTTTCCAGTTCTAAAAACTGAACAACTCCAAAGTGCCTTAAACTTGCATTTAAGGCACTTTTAATCCACAAAAAAACAGCCCTCAGTTCCCATGCTTTGCTATACAATACTTTGCAGTTTTCAGGTTATACTATATAAATAAAACATAAAAGTTATTTTTTTTTTAATTTTGGTAAATATAAAGATTTATAAAGGAGGATAAACCAGGGTTTTCTCATTGGCATGTAGTTACTCAGTCAGATCCACCTTTCTGCAACAACAAAAACATTCATCTTGTAGCTTCACAAAGGAACTTGATTAACCTGTCGATGACTTCATGGCGGTCCCGACTCTTATGCAGTCTAGAGAAGGAAACAAAGACGTCTATTGATTACTAGTAGTTAGCATGGATAACTAATCATAGTCGGTACTGACCCTGTTGTCTATGCTAGTAAATGTTGTGCAATTAAATATAGGATTTTTTTTCATGCTACTGCTGTCTCCATACAGATGTGCCTTATCAGATATAAACAAAGGTAACGAGTTTGCAGCAGTGTTATTTGAAAATATAAATGTATCAGTGTGGATGGATAAATTACAGCAGTGCCATGTCAGATCTGTATCTGTTTTTGCATCCGTTTTATTTTGAAATCACAGGAAATGAAACTTTTTAAATAAATCAATATAATTAACAGCTAATTGAAATGCTGGGTAAAACATAACATGAGGTGGGAATTTCAAAGATGAGCATAATGCATTATAATGCACACAGTTTGCATTGAAGCAATCCGCTGTCTTGTCACGAAGTCTGGAGTCTTCCAAGTGAATGATTTCTAGCCCTTAGGAAAATGGGTAATAGGATTTTTTTAGGGTTGATTATCCAGAAATGTGACCTCTGCACTCTGTGCACTTCTGTCAGAAAAATATCAAATGCATGTTTTATGTTTAAATACACTTACTAAAGACCTACACTAACAGGATTTTGATGTCAGTGTACATCAAATCAAAGCTCATTTATTTGTATTTCAAATTTAGAGTTATTCTTGTGTATATGAGGAGCTTGAAAAAAAAAACTTTCTTAAAGTGACCATGGTGATTTAATTAAATTAAATTAATCCATTTATTTTCTTATGCGTCTTTGTTTCAACAGTTTTATTATCCATATGCTCACTGCTTTGTGACCCAAATCCAGATGATCCCCTAGTCCCTGACATCGCGCATATTTATAAATCAGACAGACAAAAGTAAGTACAAAGCCGATTGTTAAGAAAACACAATTACACAAGTACACAGTTCTCTTAACATGATTTTCTTTCTCTTTAGGTACAACAAAATTGCCAGGGAATGGACCCAAAGGTATGCAATGTGAAGGACTGATGTTCCAGCTGCAAAGACGCATCCCTCAACACCTCAGAATATGACTGTTTAATTGCTTTATCCTCACTGGTTCTAATTGAGGTGTTTGACATGCTTGAAGCACTTTCTCTACCCAGACCTTACTTGACTTAACTGCTTTTAGTGTTTATTTTATTTTATTCTCTTAAATTGGCATTATTATTATTATTATTATTATTATTATTATTATTATTATTATTATTAGATATGAGATGGAAGTTTGGGGAGGTTCTTTTACATTTTTGCTGTATGGAATGATACTAAATTTATTTTTCATGATTTTTTTGCATTAAAATATTATGCAAAAAGTGAATTTATAATTGTTTCTCAGGAGTACTCGCAACTAAACTGAAAATGGTTCAGTGATAACTCTTCATTTCTACAACCAAGTCTTGGTGTCATAAACCTGACCACTAGGTGGCAGTCTTTACTTTTTACTTGCCAAACATTTCTGGTGGATAATTTAATATTCATGTTTGTGTTACATTTAATTCAGGCCCATTTGCTAAATGGTTAATTGTGTGGATAGTGGCTATTATGGAGTGTTGCTCTGGCTATGAACTGAAAATGAGGCCTGTTCTGTCAATTGAAATCAGACCACCCATTACCATCACCTCTGCTCCTTCCTTTGTGCTGATGAAGCTCGTGTCTCCATATAAGTGGAGCACTTCCTGTTTAAAATCGAACTCAAGCATGTTTGCCCAGCTGTTATTACACTATTTTATAACCACTGCTTTCACAAAATGGCTTCAATTTGCAAACCACTTAGAAGTTTTATCATAAAGTGTGAGCCTCTCTGTCAATGATTTAAATCTTGCTGCATTTTAAAATAAAGCAATTTTTGCCAATGGATCAAGAGAGAAAAGCACAGTTTGTGCATATGTCAGTAACTATAATGATATAAATGGCTTTCTTTGTGCATTTTTACTTTATTTACCATAAACGTATTCTGCATGGATGATGTAGTCTGGTTTTAGTCTGCAGTAAATACAACATTCCTCCAATGAAAAATAATTCAGACTTTGTTTTCTCATTTTGTATTGTTCTGGATGTTAAAGGTTGTTTTTAAGAAAACCTAATAGTTGCACAGTAAGCTGATAAAACATCAAAGCAATATTTGATGTGACTTTTTCAGACTATTGGATTTACTAATAGTCTAAAGAAGACTACTCGTACTGTTGTCTCACACTAACAACGTCCTGTGCTTGAATCCAGTGAAATTGGCTGTAGGTGTGAATGGTTGTCTGTCTCTGTGTTAGAGAGGCTCCAGCCCCCCACCCACCTTCAACCCTCCACAACCCTGAACTGGATTGTCTTGGTCTTAATAACTCTTACAGCCTGCCAAGAAACAAGCATCCTAGTGTTTTTTTTCCTGACCATTTAAATAAGCATGTAGGACATTCAGGTGGTTGCTTTACCCTTGACAGAATTTTTTGAAAGTTTAGCTCAAGGGAACAGATGTCAAAGCTCATCTGCATTTTTAGAAATGCAGTTAAAACTTCTCTCATAAGACTAAAATTAAATTGTCAGGTACTTAATAATTACCACTTTTAATCCCAGATCTCAGGAAGAAGTTGGAAAACGAATTAGGCCAAGAACCGTGGTCCTGCGGCTACACGATTAGTTTGCAGTGTGATAAAAGCTCCATCTGCCACATTAGGGTTGTTAACATGGAGGTTTGTTATGTCTGAATTGGCTGGCAAGCACAGCGTTAAGTGGCACCTTACATTTAAATCAAAATAAAGATTAGCAATGCTGTTCCTGTTGTAGAGGACAAACCTCTGAGATCAGTGAATATGAATAACTCTGGATGTCCATAGCTGGCATTACTGAGTGACCTCTACACTCCCTTTTGTTTTGTTTTCTCTTTCCTGTATTACTTCCCTTTCCCACTAGTGTTTCCTCTATAAACCAATAGATAGTTTGCCTCGGGCTGTTTGGAGGGGGGAAAGTCACAGCAAAATTGGTTTATACACACGTCAAAGCTGTCTTTGTGTCTAATTATTTATAGAGACTTGATTGTCACGTCTGCTGGTAATTTAGTATAATTTTGGACTCATAATAACTATGATTTCCGTGGCTATAAATGGCAATATAATCCCTCAACAGTTTCCCATAAATGAGACATACAAGTTGTGCCCTTACGAGCATAAACACAAATCAAAACCAAAAACTCTCACATATTCAAGTTTGGGGAACTTCTCAGGAACCCAGGGGGAGGTATAGATCCTCGAGAAAAGTTTCTGGGAGGAGTCCCGCTTTTTTTGCAGGATGACACGTGAAACTTTCCTGAGGAGTTGCTTGGTATGTTTGGTGCGTGTACTGTGGCCGTCCGTTAACTCGCCAGACAACCTATAGCGAGTGGTTCCGTGTGCGCCTGCCTATTTTTAGAAGCCTGCCTAATGGGGGGAAACGAAGGAGCTTAAAGAAAACTGCAGAGGAAGGTCACAACTGCGTTGAGATGAGCTTCCACAACGACTCGAAGTGACGGAATAAAAAGTAGCAGAAGTAACGGCGCTTTCCTGCTACTCGACCTAACTTTGAGTTAAACGCACGCAGTGGCCGCTGGAGAAGTTTCCGTGCAGCACAATGGCTGCCCAGTGCGACGCTTTAAGCGGATACTTGCAGCAGTCGGACCAGGGCTCCAACAGCGAGCGCAGCGCAGACTCTCCTCTGCCGGGCTCAGAGGAAGATCTCAGCGGCCCTCACTCGCTGCCAGACCCGGAGTGGACTGAGGAGAGGTTTCGGGTGGACCGTAAAAAGCTGGAAGTCATGTTATTAGGTAATAAAATTAGCCATGTGCAAAGTTAGATAATTTAAACATTTAAACGAACAATGCCTTGCATCCCGAAGTAGCTTTCGCCCGGCCCTTTGTTTATTTTAGACTCATATAATCAAACTTTTTCGAAGTTGTTTAAATTTCAGGCCTCTTATTCGGGGAATTTGAGCGTGTCATTTGCTTAATCCGAGAAAAATCAATTAAGTCAAATGGGCCGCGCCAATTAGCTATTGACTTCCAATTAATGGCGTGGACATAAGAAAACAGCGTAATAGCTAACCACTCAGAAGCTGTGGGCAGCCCTGGAAAAATGGACGTCCACATTTCTTAATTTTTGCACTTTAACAAACAGAAGGTCGAAGAAGTCGGTTAACCATCATTGAAGGTATTTTTTTGGGTAGTTGCGTGCTCCAGCCACAGGCTGTCGCTGCAGCAACTACTGCAGTCTGCATTTGTTTGTAGAGTAAACTGAGTGTCTGGCTCTTTGCAAAATAGTCTGCATGATGCAAAACCTTTGCTTGACTTTTAGAAAATAATAAACTGGAAGTTGATTAGTTACCATAAGCCGTTAAACAAATCCAGTAGCAACAGCTGTAATTGCATCACACTGTGTGATCCATTCTGTCTTCAATACAACAGAATCCTGATGAAAAGTTAAAAGTGGGATCTCTCCTAATGACGTGCAAGTGACAATGAACACTTAAACAAGCGATGACAGGCTTGTAAAGAGAGGCCCAGTCAGACTCAGTTAAGAGTTAAGAGGTCCCTGGAAACTCAAAAGGTTGATGTAATTTATCACAGATTTCAAAACTCTGGAGTGTGGAATATTAGAGCATTACATAAGTGGGCTGGATTCTTTATCATTTCCACAGGAAGGCAGTGACTTGGATCTGATGAGCAGCCAAACAAGACTTTAGGAGGAATATTATCAGTCATAATCATGTTGAAACGCTGTCAAGGACACTATATCGTGTGTGTTGACAGCAGTAATGACTATTGCTTAATATTTTTTTAAGACTGTAACTTGGGGAATGCGGTTCATCGGTTTAGTCTGAGCTGTCCTAACTGGAACTAGGCTCTGAAAAGAGGCAGGTTTTGAAGTCCATCCCTTATACTAAAAACACAGACATACACATGCACACACGTAGTTCCCTCTTGAGAAAGTCCTTGCTGCTGCCTAACTGCTCTGTACATTCCTCAGTGCTCCATGTCATCCCCAACTCTTCCAGGAAAACAACTTTGCTAGAGGCTGGCCCTAAATCCGAGTGTTCCGGACACACCGCACGCCACGTCATGCAGTGTGTCTGCGTGTGCGTATGCCATATGTAATCTGTACAGTTTGTGAGATTGTTGTTTTTATCTTTGCCAAACTCTTGTTTCCCAGTTGCTCTTTTATGACATCATGGCTGACGCTGCACATGTTGACATTGCAGCTAGGATGCAGAGTAGGAAAGGCTGTTGGGATCCACTCTTGATCTTTATCGTCAGCTGTAGGTGCAGGTTTAAATACCACAGTGCTTTAACAGTTATTTTCACTGGTTTTGATCTGAAGCCAAGATCTGAGGTCTCCTCATAGCTACCTTGGTTATCTTGCAGTAAACATTTTGCAATCCAAGCTTGTGCAGAACATTGCAGACGATTCATTAGGATAGAAAAAGTTCAAAAGTTTGTTTAAGCCTACATGATCATATATTCTCATTTTTTAAAAATTATTATTTTTTATTTATTTGCTCAGTAGGTGTAAATTCACATCCCCTTTATCGTCATCCCGTTTGGTCAGAGCATTCTAACATCTGGCTGTGTTTTGATTGGATAGACTGTAGATTTTGATGTGGTACATCAGGTTCTGTAGGCCAGAGTTTTGGAGCATAGTGAAATCATTTTATGGGAGCTCCAGTGTATTTTTACCCAGTGTTTTATTGTCTGTGAGGTATCTCTGGCTTCTCTTTCTTGGAAAATTAAGTGTTTTTGACCCCAGAGAAAGAGCTGTGGGTCAAATCATGCAATAACCTATTCTTTTTTCTTTTTTTTTGCCAGATTCAGGTAATGTTCCTGCACTGTTTGCATTTTTGCTTTGTTAAAATACAGATTATATGTAAGCAGCTGGCATACATTTTATTTTATTTCATTTCTTTAAAGACATGGAAAACTTTTACAGTACTGCTTGGAAACTGCATTCACAACTAATCTTCAGGGAAACTGATGGGAGGATTTGAGGCAGATGAGAGATGACCACTTGCCTGCGTACCATGTGGTTAAATATTCATCATGTTTAATTCAAAGATTCCAGTCTGAAACAGCAATGAATAATATATATAGTAAGCTTTCATACGGTACATTTAATCTATTGTTTCAACTCCAAGCATTTTATTCACCGGTATGGGATATGACCCTCTGTAGCTTTATATTACAAGTGCATTTGCTTTTATTGGCTTCCAAATGATTTCTCAGTATGAAACCTAGCTTTATTTAGAACATACAGGTAAGGGGTCAGAGAAGGACATCAACCTACTGAGAGCCCTTTAGTCAGGGGTTGCATAAATTCTGGTGAATAAAAGTGACCCAGTAGCCCTCTGTGCCCATTAAAAGATGTTGGTGAGTCACCAGCACGTCTCCACGACTTTGCACTGAAACAGAATCCCATGATACACACTTAACCTGCTGTTCGAATCAGCTGCATTTTACTATCCCCCTGTTCTGGCACAGTTTGCTTCAGGAGAAAATGGAAATTATTAACGGCTTTTCAATTACAAATTTACTGTCTCTCGCATTGGCAGGGACACAGGTTCCTGGGCTTAGATCAGTAAATAGAGTGTAAAGTGACAACAAAATCTCACCCTAACAGCTATCTGGATTTACTGTTGTACTCTTGGCACCCGCAAATAGAACTCCCAAGTTAATGGCTTGGAGACATTAACAGAGGGATGGTCTTGTGTGGGCAGGGAACAGTGTAAGAGAACCTTTGTGCCTATTACATCGCTATTCAAACTCACGAAACTAAGAAACTGGGGGCAAGTGTGGGAAAGAGGTAACATTTGTTTCCAACTCCAATTATCAAAATTGAGTGCATCTGTAAGTGCAACATGATTTTCCGTGAGTTTTCACACATGTATTACCTATGTGCTCTAATATGCATGGCTCAACTGTAAGAGCTCTGGATCATTTAGACTACTAATGATTAGAGTTAAGCTGTGTTTGTGAGTGAATTTCGGCTCCTGGTGGGCCACTGTTTATACACATCCTAACAACATGTTTGCTGAGTAACTGCGACAGCAGCCTGCAATTAGACTAAGTGAATCATTTTCGTCACTGAACTAATTTGTTTTCCTGCTTCTAAACCACACACTATTGGTTAGGCTTATTTCTAAATGGAAAAACCGCTGCATATGACACTGAGAGAATTTTCAGTTATTTTCAGCATTATAATGAAGTTATTTTAGACACTAGGGGATCTGAAGATACTGGTACTAGTTCACAATTTTTGAATTTGTGGGACGGAATGAAAACATTTTATTTTTAAGCAGTGTAGAAATTCTAAATGGTAGAATAGACATTTAGTGGCTTGTTTCTATATCTATATGATGAGGTGTAGGTTTGTGTGTCTGTGTGTGTGTGGGCGGGCGCTTAACCTCCTCTTCCTCCTGGATGCTGGGTAAGACTCACAGGCAGGAAGTGAGTGTCTTTTGGGGAATGTGCTGCAGGCTTTCTCTTGTTCTCCCCTTTTATTGCTCCCTCTTGAGTATTCAAACAGTGCTCTGCTGTTGCAGCTTCCATCACATCCACTGTAGAGTTGTTGGACTTTCCCCAAGTCTTTATCTCATACTAAGACACGATCCTCACTTTAACCTTCAAACCCAACCAAACGCAGGCAAATCACACATCAGAAACTCTATAGTTTAGCTGCATGATTCATTTAAAATAACTGAACTTTGATAATGTAAGGCATGACATTAGCTGTTTGCAACACTTTGCCTCACTCGTCCACCCAAAA